CCCTCCGTCACATGAGATTGGTATTTCTATTAATTCTTCTCGGTTGCAGGTATATTCTTCTAGTTATTGCGTCTTATGGCTATCAAATTATTTACATAAATTTGAAATGGAATCCTCTCCACATGAATTCATTCTTACTGATTTTGGAGAAATATAAACAATATTTCGATTATATGTTATTGCTGATTTTAAATGTTTAGTTGCTGGTTTTATGTTTCAAGCATCTAAATGCAAGTATTTTGATGTTTCAATGATCATTTAATTGCTGATTTTAAATATTTTGTTGTTGGTTTATGTTTCAAGTACTTAAATGCAATATTGTGATGTTTCAATGATCATTTACTTGTTGATTTTAAATGCTCATTTGCTGGTTTTATGTTTCAAGCACTTAAATGCAAACATTGTGAGGTCCCAATGACCATTTACTTCTTGATCTTAAATACTCATTTGTTGATTTCATGCTTCGAACACTCGAAAGAAAATACTACGAGGCTTGAGATGACTGTTATTCTAGGGCTTGAATGCTTCTTTGCGAGTCTATGTTCTTTTACTTCCAAATGTCTCCCTTGAGGGCTGTTTTACATGTTATTTGGTGGGTTTAAACATTGCGATTTTTACATGTACTATTTTAGAGCCAGTTTATTAACTGATTTCGGAGAATTTACCCATTATCTTGGATTGGATTTCCTAGCTGATTTTGGGACATTTAAGATTAATGTTTTGAGCTTACATGTGTTGTTTGGGAATTTTAAAATTATTGTTTTAGGGTTGATTTAGAGAGCTTTGCCTACTGTTTTGGAGGCATTAAACCCTTTTGTCCACTGTTTTGGAGGCATTAAACCCACCATCTGCGGGATTGTTCTAATCAATGTTTTGAAGCATTTTGGTGGACTAATTTTGAGATAATCTACGCACTATTTTGGCAAGATTTATGTAGCCTTTAAGTGTTGATTTACATGTGGTTTAGAATTTGATTTACCGACCCCTTTTTGCCCAATGTTTTGGATTTCAGTTGATTGTTATTTAAACGCTTTTAGGTTGATCCACTCGTTGTTTTCCCTTTGGCTTTACTAGTTTTGGAAGTCAGTCTGCCTCATCTTTCTTTTGTTTTACTTCTTTTCAAATCTTTTAAATGGTTAAGTCATAAAGATAGGGATTGATTATTTAATTAATTGGAAGATATATAAAACCTTAAATCACCTTAAGCATAAGTTAAAAGTGTAGGTTTCTTAAAACTTTAAGCGCACACCCCAGGTGAGAGCTCATCCACCTAGTCCTCGGTTTAGGCTTTCTACACTTTAGAAGCACACCCTAGGTGAGAGCCCATCCACCTAATTCTCAGCATAGGCTCCCCATAGGCTCCCTAGGTGAGAGCTCATCCACCTAATCCTCAATGTAGGCTTTCTAGAGCTTAAGTGCACCCCCTAGGTGAGGGCCCATCCACCTAATCCTCAATGTAGGCTTTCTAGAGCTTAAGTGCACCCCCTAGGTGAGAGCCCATCCACCTAATCCTCAGCATAGGCTCCCTAGATTTTAGGAGCACACCCTAGGTGAGAAATTATTCACCTAATTCTCAGCACAGACTTCCTAAATTTTAGGAGCACACCTAGGTGAGATTCCATCCACCTAAATCTCAGCATAGGCTTCCTAGATTTTAGGAACATACCAGGAACATATCATAAGTGAGAGTATCTCCACTTAATTCTCAGCACAGGCTTCCTAGATTTTAGGAGCACACCCTAGGTGAACGTTCATTCACCTAATTTTCAAATGAATAATGAAACACGTCACTAGAGCCTGATTCACGAACTGATCATGACACTAGACACCAGGATGCACCGAGCGAGACGTGACCCATGCTTCCTTAATTAAATCAATAGTGAAATTCCCTCAATGACCTAACCCACAATAAAACCGAGTGCATCGGGTTTTGAGCTTGAATATTACACTCAAATCCTCCTGGCAATTGGGGAAATTTCTTAATGCCACATATGGATTATCGGACTAGGATAAGTCTAGGGTCTAGGTGGCGAGGGCTGAAGTGAGATTATTAGAATATTATCTCCCACCTCAAGGATCTTTAATAAGGGAGAGGGAAGGACCTATGATATTATTCGTCGATTCTTGGTGGGATCGTTGCCCCCGACACTCTTAGGTTGACAGTAATTCTAGCACGATTAGAGTGACTAGTCTGTGGGCTGTACGACTTTACAAAATATTTACAAAAATAAAATAAAAATTTCTTTTGCATGATTAAAAGAACTCTGCATAAAAAGACTAAAATAATAACTTTTACATGAAAATCAAAGAATCTTTTTATGAAAATTTATAAAGGTCCACGGCCAGTTACTTGGATTGAGGTTAAGAACCACCTCCTATAGATTGTCGAGTTGGCAACTCTTACTCAAGGTCGGGAAACCCACAACCCAGCTCTGAGCCCTCACTGTTACCAAGGCCATATACCCAGTCCTGATCTTTCATATGCGGCTAAGTGTTTCTTTTGCTCGTGATTTTTACAACTCATTTTTCTGACTTTCATATTGGGTTTTCTAATCTTGTTTAATTTTCTTGCAAATTTATTTAAATCTGCTGCAAATCATGCTATGCTCGCAAGACTGGTAAAACAACAGTAGCAGATGCCCAGGTACGCTGTTACAGTTTATCTACAACATTTTACTTTATTGCAGTTTATCTTTCAAGTACCTTTTATTTACCTGCAATTTGATTATTTTACATGCAAAACCAAAACTGAAACAAAACAAAACCAAACATTGACACCAAAACTGAGAAACACAAATCACCAATCCCAAACACTTAAACCTGGAGTCATCGCTACGACAGGAGCTTGGAGCCAACTTTGTGGGCAACACGACGAGGAATTCAGATCGAGCCGCAAGAGGATCTTCTTCAGCATTATCTCTTTCTAGCATAATAAATCCATAGGACTTCGAGGTAGCTCGCCTAGCGCAACGTAAATCCTCACATCTTCTTTAGGCTCCTGTACAACCATGTTGTGCGACATGAGTCCTAACTCGACTTAGGTTCCGAGGTTGTCGTACGGTACGATGTAAACCCTCTTATCTCTGCGGGTTATTTGCATAATCGGGTATTATGCGAATGTAAGATAATAAAATTGGCAGAATTGAATAATTGAATAACATCATCTCTAAAAATGTAGCCACACCATAGGATAGACTGGGGAGGCAACCTACCTTCTCCTTCATTTGGACTCCTGAAAATAATTGTTCCGGATTGAGTCATTCCCACTTGATTTTCCTCATCCTATCTTGAAAACCTGAGCCTTGAATTCTTGAAGACTAGAAACATTGATCATTATGGAGAGTTTTCTCAAGTGACTCCCGTCATTTGGGATGTAATTAACTATAGGGGCTTGCCTCTATAGGGAACTTAGAACCCAGGTAAAATAAACCCTATTTAATCTTTGTATTAAATAGGGGAATTTGTCGGTCATATATAAAAGATTCGTTGCAGGATTGGGTCTATCGCCGAGGTCTACACTTATCTGTCGGGAGGGTGTAATATTCGCGGCATCAGACACGATTATGCAAACTATTGGACGAATGAGATCCACTTGGTCTCATTTTTAAAAAATTAAAACATACTACTTTCAAAACCCAAACTATATATCTTTTATATTTAAATTAAATCTCAAAAATTATATTCATATTCATATTTTCAAATAATCTATTGAAAAAAGTTGACCGACAGGAGGTTGATATACTTATCACATACACGGTCAGATATTGTCTTTGCTGTGAGTTTGGTAACCCTTTTTTTGCATTCATTCTATGAGAAACACCTTGAAGCAGTCAATAGAATCCTCATATATCTTAAAACACACCAGAAAAAGACTTACTCTTTAGGGACCACCTAAAAGAGCATAGAGGCGTACACTGACACAGATTGGACAGACTCAATTATTGATATAGATTAACTTCTAGATATTGCAACTATGTGTGAGGAAACTTGGTTACGAAGCGTTGTAAGAAATATAATGTAGTTGCAAAGAGTAGTATTGAGGCAAAATATAGGGCTATGGCTAATGAAGTATGTGAGATTTTATGGCTGAAACGAATTCTTGAAGAGCTGCAGGTCCCGATAAGGATGCCATTGAAGTTATACTATGACAATAAAGCAACCATAAACATTGCAAAAAATCCAGTGCAACATGATCGCACAAAGTATATGGAGATTGACGGGCCCTTCATAAATGAGAAGATTGATTATGGAGCTATTTGCATGTAATTTACCCCTATTGCTAAACAAATAATGAATATCTTCACCAAAGGACTGGTCGGGCCTAATTTTGAGCTTCTTTTAAGCAAGTTGGGCATGATAGATATCTTTGCTCCAAATTGACGGTAGTGTTGGATTTTTAGGAAGATTTTATTTTTAGTATATTCTATTATTAATTTTTTTTTAATTTCGAGAATTAGAATTTTTGGTGTGTCTTATTTATGTTTCATTCATTTATCATGTGGAGTTATGACTGGTTTTGTTAGTTTTCTAATATGGGGGAGCCTTTCCCCCTCTATCTATCTTGCAATTGTCTTGTTATGAAATTGAAGAGTAATATTTTTCCCTTCCCAAAACCTACGAGTATCACAGGTGCCCTGTTCACTTATGTCCGCTTATTATTGCCACCTTATTATTGACGTGACTCTGTGCATCTAGTTTTTATGGAAGAGATGCTATTTATAGTGAATCATAAAAAAATATGGGGTGCTGGCAACACTTAAAACCTCTCTTTTTTTTTTGTCTGTTGATTTGTTCCAGTTGAAGCACCTCTGAAGAATTCAACTGTATCCTGTGCTCTTGAATTCTCTGGAATGCTTAGCATTCTTCATCTGAAAATTTGTGTTGCCCTTCTTATTATTACATAACCCATCTCCATCAAAAAATTGTTAATGCCCGGCTTATATTATGGACATATATTTCCCAGTTCTATTTTAGTTTGTTGACTTGCTTTCTTTAATCAGCTACTGGTAGGTCGGTTCTCCATCAAGATAGGCATTTGGATCATGAGAGAGATTCTCTTGCCATTACAGCAGTAGATACTGTTACACCTAATGGTATTCCTCCATGGAACTGGAAAGATAACTCCGCAAATGGTAATGCAATGATTTCAAGTTCAGTTATGCCAATTTTGGATGAGATTTTTATTTTGCAAAAACTACTGCCAGTATTTCCTTATTGTTTTTTTTCCCGGTTTTATAATAATTTTATCATTATTTAAATCTCGTGGGGCTGCTTAAATGTGAAATATTATTCATTTCCTTTATGCTGGAATAGTGCTTTATTTAGGTGCACTGTCTTTGTTACAAGATTAGGGTATTTTACATTTATAGTCTTCTCCATCTTATTTTGTGGCCAATATTAATGTATTAGTGCGTGGAAGCTCTCCTTATGTTCTTTCTTCTGTTTGACCTGTATGGTGTTTTATATTCTTATTTAGGTGAGGATAATCATTCATCGTATGTTGGAAGAGTTATTTTAGTTAAATTTGGGGAATACAGCCGAAAGATAGGCATTGATGGCACTAGTGAGTCAATAAAGGAGGCTATTAAGGCTGCTTTTGGATTGAGGACAAGGAGGGCATTCTGGCTGGAAGATGAAGATGAGGTAGTTCGTAGCCTTGACAGAGACATGCCCCTGGGTACATATACTGTTCATCTTGATGAAGGTATGGTTTTAAACCCCTGTATGCAAATAATTCTGCTATTCTTCCTGTAGTATCATCTACATCATAGCTGTCTGTTTGGGGTTCATCTTGCCTTTCTTTTGTTTTGGAAGAGCAAGCGGCATCTTAAGCTTTGAACAGTCTTTCTTTTTAGAATTCGTGGTAGAATTTAAGTTATTGAAACTTTATTTTGTTGTTAAAGATTAAATTGGGCATTCCATTCAATTTATTTAAGGCGATACTACAGTTCACAAGCACATGTGGTTTAATTTGCATCAGCCTTCATCTATTAGTACCATGTAACCCACCCCTCTTGTGTTAGCCGTCCATCTATCTTTGAATCTTATAAGTTCTTTGGCTTAATAGGTTTGTTTGTCATATTTCTTTACATCGCTTCACAATGTTATTTATGATATTTGTGTTCATTTGAGTTCTTTAAATCAGAAAATTTCTCAAGGATAGTGTTTTATTTGATGTAAGATTAACATTATAGATAGTCCACTGTCATTTGATGGTTGGTTTTGATGCATAAAACTATAGAAGCTTAACTTTGATGCCTTAAGAAAATTGGTCGTTCATGGGGCGTGTGATTCCTACACAAGTGTTTCAGAGAGCTGTTTAGATTCCAGGGATTCCTCTTTTCTCCTTTTTGTTTTCACCATGATTTAACCCTTATTGATAGCCTGCCTCCGTCACTTCTTGTTGGATTTTGATTATCTATAACCTTAAATTTATAAAAATGCAACACCCATAAATGTCTAGGCAGCCTTCTGATTTAATTTTTTTCATGTGTGCTTTCACTTGTGAATACATGATTAAAATTGTCTAATGACGAATCTTCTGCAGAAGCCAACTCCCCGCTTTCTGCAACAAGCAAGATCTGCAGGAACTCATTCCAGTTGTAAGAACTTCCAGCAATCGCCAGAATCCCTGCAGCAGGCCTGCGAGATCCTCCCCGGCTCTTCCCTTTAGTTAGAAATTTCTGCTGCAGGCCCTCGTTGTTCACTTTGTTGCCACCGGACCTCTCTCTTGCCACAGCAGTAGCAGCAGCCACCAGATCTCTCAGGAGCCGCCAGAACCCTCTCTTCGCAGTAGCAGCAGCCACCAGATCTCTCAGGAGCCGCCAGAACTTTCTCTTCTACCGTAGCAGCAGCGGCTTACTCCTCTTCTATAACAACCACTCTCTAGTGGAAATCCTTTGTCGGTGACTGATAGTTTCTCTGTCCAGTGTAAATCCTGTGTTAGAAGTTTTCCTCTTTAGTGAAAATTCTGTGTCGACGACATACAATTTTTTAGTCCAGTGAAAATTCTGTGTCAGTGACAGATAGTTTTACTCTTCTAGTGAAACCTTATTCTATAACAACTACTCGCTAGAGCTTTCTTCCTACAACAATAGGGAGCAACTTCCTCCCCGTAAGAAGGTAAATCTCTCAATACACATAGGGTTTATGACCTAGTATAATATGACGTCTTGAGTTCTACTTCGGAGGTTATTTGTCCCTTGTGTGAACACTGCAAGTAACTTGGTCACACAAAGGATGAGTGCTAAAAACTACAAGGGAAACCTCCATAATAGAAACCTGAGCACGAAATACCAAAACAATAAGGCCCATGCTGCTACTTCTTCTAAAGGGTCGGCCGACTCTAGTTTTTTAACTGAAGAATCTTCTTTTGAGCACAATTGAGTGGTAGAACAACAGGAGTTCGCGGGCCCCAAATTGTTAGACTTGTTGATGGATCTCACTTCATGATTGTTGGGAAAGGAGAAATGAAAGTTTTCAAAGACATTCATCTTTCTTTTTTGATATATGTTCCACAATTAAATTACAACTTACTGTCAATTATCAAGCTTATGCATGACTTAACTGTTTCTAAATTCTATTCCAACACTTGTGAATCTCAGGTTGTTTTGGATTCAGGGATGTTGATCCATAGTGCTAAAATGCATCAATATCTATACCTACTAAAAGAATCTATTCTCTTAACGCCCAAGTGTCTTTTTCCATTATCCACTTCTCATATTCCTGAGTCTGCTATATCTAGTTCTATTGAAAGTCAAGTTTTATTATGGCATCATCATTTGGGTTATCCCAATTTTTATTATGTTGCAAAGTTGTACCCTGACTTCTTTATTAATAAAAGCCAAAGTTTTTTCATTGTGAATCCTATAAATTGGCTAAACATGCTCTTCATGCCTATCTTCTATCATAGCACAAACCCTCACATATATCCTGTCATCCACAGTAACATTTGATGACCACCAAAATTGAAAATCATCAATGGAGCTAGATGGTTTGTTTCCTTTATTGATGATCACACTATAACTAGTTGGATATTTCTCATGAAGAAAAAATCTGAAGCTGCACAAATCTATTAGTTATTTCATAACATGATTTTCAGTCAGTTTCAATGCAAAATTCAGATCCTCAAAATTGATAATGCAAAGGAACCGTCAATATTATACTTGAACCCTATATTGCAAAGAACGGTATCATTCATTCGAGTTCCTATATTGAAACTCCACAACAAAATAGGATAGCTGGAGAAAAAATATATATCTCCTCGAGGTATCTTGGTTTATAATGCTTTCTTACAATGTCTCAAAATTTTTTTGGGGAGATGCTAACCTCACAACAACCTACTTCATTAGAAATGCCATGCAATGATTCAAAGCTCCTCTCGATTTTGTGATGAAAAATACCCTCATGTTAGAGCCTTCTCATCTAATTTTCAATAATAACAACAACCTTTATCCCACTAAGTGGGGTAGGCTACATGAATCCTTTTTCTGCATGTGTCCTTTTGAGTGTCATATTTTCAATTAGTTCTAATAAATTAAGATTTTTTTTATACAATATGCCTAAGTTTTTTTAGGTCTATCTCTGCATTTTTTAACATAAGTTGAATCTAAAACATCTTCTCTCCCAATCGGATCATCAGATGATCGGCGTTTATTGTGACCAAATCATCTAAGATGACTCTCTAATTTTGTCCGTCACTGAAGCTACAACATACAGATATATTCATTTCACGTTTTGTCTCTAAGTGTCAGGCCACTCATCCCCTAAGCAATCTTATCCTAGCAACACTTAATTATTTTTTCTTCTTTTTTAAAGGCCAACAGTCTACACTATAGAGCATTGCAGGTCCCACCATTTTATAAAATTTTACTTTCAGTCTAAACGGTACTTTTATACCACACAATTACTTCAAAAACTATAAACACTACTAATAAAAAAATTTAGGGCATGAGATGAAACACAAAACAAGGACTACCAATTATGTGATTGTGCCCCTTGAATGGTAGTTTTCTAAAGCGTTCACACCTTTTAATGATTGATCACCCTTAGTTACAACTGTGCCACCAAAGCTACCACTACTAACATTACATTCCATGTATTTAGTTTTAGTTCTACTCAAACGAAGGCCTTCAAACTCCAATGTAGATCTCCATAATTCAAGTTTTTCCCAAGAAGGATGTCATTAACAAAAAACATACACCAAGGGACATCCTCCTATAAATCTCTAGTAAGAGCATCTATAACTAAAGCAAAATGATATGAGTTTAAAGCCAATCCTTAATGTAATCCAACTAAAATAGGAAAATATTTGGTCAATCCTCCTTCTGTTGCAACTCTAGTATACATATCTTTAATGACTTGATTATAAGTCATATCAATAAATTTCTTCCTATCACTCTCCTAAGGATTTCTCTTGGAATCTTATCGTAAGCTTTTTCTAAATCAATAAAAATCATAAGTAGATCAGCCTTATTCTTTCTGTACTTCTCCATCAAACCTCTCAATAAATGTATAGCTTTTATAATAGACATGCCTGACATAAGTCCGAACTAATTATAAGAATTTGTAACACGTCTTAATCTATGTTCAATTACCCTCTCCCATCATTTTAAAATATGGCACATCAACTTAAATCCTCTATAATTTGCATACACTTGTTTATCTCCTTTATTGTTTAAGAATGAGGGACAAAGTACTCTTCCTCCACTCCTTAGACATCCTTCTAGTTTTCAAAATAATATTAAAGAGTTTAGTAAGCCAAGAAACTTCTAAAGATTTTAAATATTTCCACACTTTAATTAAGATATCATCAAATCCTACTGATTCTTTACCCTTAGATTTCTTTAAAACCTCATCAACTTCTTTTTTACTAATGCAATGATAAAAATAAAATATATTATTATGATTAACGAGATTAAGATAACTAAAGTTGATCGTATTTTCAGAAACTTTTTTGAAAAGTTTTTCAAAATAGCTTGCACATCTATGTTGAATATTTTTTTTCTAAGAAAATTAATTTTTGCTTTTCATTTTTAATATACTTTATTTGAGTTAAATCTTTACTTTTCTTTTCTCTTTGTTTGCTTAGTTTATATAATTTATTTTTCATCTTTTTAAGTATCTAATCTGTTATAACGATCTTTAAAAGCATAATTTTTTGCATCACAAATTGTTCTCTTAGATTTCTTGCGGGCCACTTTATATTTTTCTCCTTTCTCTAAATCTTTACACGTAAAGCAATTTTTATAACACAACTTCTTATATTTTATTTTTTCTTTCACATTATTATTTCACCACCAAACTTTTTCTTTTAATTCTCCAAGTATATCTTTTGACACTTGTTTAGTAGTGTTTGGTATTTCATTCCTAATATCATTTTTTTTTCATGAACATCCCAAATCTTAAAATATTGAAGTTTATTCATAAAAATTAATTTTATTTGAGTTCTTTAGGTGCTCCCATCGAATTTTATGACAATGATTCCTAATAATTTTTTTTCTTACAACTCATCTTAAAATTTAGAACTAAAAATGATGTTAAGTACTTGAATTCTCACTTGAAATGACCTTACAATCCTTACAGTCTCGACGATCTCTTCTTCTCATAAGGAATAATCAATGTCCGTTTTATTAGATCCATTCTTATAAGTAATAATATGCTCGTTTCTTCTCTTAAATATAATATTAACAATAATAAAATCAAATGATAAAACAAAATCTAATATGACTACTGTCTTCATTAATCATTTCAAAACCGTAGTCACCATGAATATTTCTAAAATCTTCTATCACTCTACCATTATGTCCATTTAAATCTTCTCCAATAAAAATTTTTTCTTCAAGAGATATCATTTGTATTAATTCTTTTAGTTCGTTCCAGAATTTTTCTTTAAAACCTATATCTAAACTTACTTGAGAAGCATAAACACTTATAATATAAAAAATCTTAGTATCAACAATGATCTTAAGAGCTATGTCTTAAGGACCATAATTCTATCTCCAATACTAAATTTTTACAACATTATCTTTTAAACTCTTATCTATAATTACACATACACCATTTCTAGTGCGACTCTTACCTGAATACCAAAGTTTAAATCCTAAAACTATCAATCTCCTTAGCCTTTTCTCTAATCCATTTAGTTTCACGAGTACATAAGATATTTATCTTCTTATGAACCATAATATTAACTATTTTCATTAATTTAGTTGTGAGAGTACCTATATTCCAAGATCATATAATAATATTAATTTTATGGACTAACTTTTTTACTTGCATCAATCCGTAATGTGAGAACAATTGTTTATTTGACACTACACCCGAGCGTAGGCGTAGCGACCATTCCACACTTTTCACTATATTCAGGCCATAAAATGTGTTGTTTCCAGGGGACCCCTAGCATTTACACAATTAAACGATCAATGTCATGATTTTTCGACAAATTTTACGCTGACTGTTGAATATATAACACAACCTCCACTTTGTATATCCGGGGCTTTCTCTAAAAATATTTGTTTGTTTTTTTGTTCACATTCACCAACCAGCTGTGCAAAGCTCGACTCAAAATCTATCTAATATATCTTCTTTGGGTATGCATCTAACCAAAAGGGGCACAAGTGCTATTCTCTCATTACAAAAAACTATTATAGCTCCATGGATGTTAAATTCTTTGATAACCAATCATACTACTCAAAATCTGATATTCAACTAGAGCGTTTTGGTGAATATCAGACTTGAGACACTACTCTGTATACTCACATTGATCGA